GAAAGGGTCCAAACCTCTCATGATTCTCTCTTTCTAAAGCTGCTCCTTGTGTGGAGATAATAAATGAGGAGAGAAAAAGACGTCTAGTTTTTTTGGACCATTCAAAGGGATAAAAACCAAGTTATGGTACCCCACATACATCAGGGCTTTCTTTTTGGAGTTGCTTTCCCAATGTGTAATATAATGGAGGTTTACACCTAACACATTTTATTTTTTGTAGTGAGTTTTGACTTGAGTGAAATGTTTAATTAGTCCACAACTTAATCGAAACAATTAATTTTATTTGAATAGAAGCTGGATCTAATATTCTTTGGCTAACTGTACATTTGCTTGCAAATGTAGTTGACAAATGTTAAGGGTAGAGTCCTTGGTGCAATGGTTTAAGAAAACAATAGATGTTTAAATTACAACCCTTCTCTTGCATCAGTATTTGAATACGGGACTTTCAACTTCAAGTCTTCTTGGTCAAGGCTAAAGCAATAGAAATAAAAAATTATTCTCACTCGGGACTTTTGATGATAATAGTTGTTACTTCTTGCAAGGCCTATTATAGCCCAATTCTCACTTCATCTTTTCTGTTGGTTGTCAGGCCCATTAGAGTCAAATTCTTATTTTATCACATAACAACCAAGTAATCCAAAAGGCAACAGATGCAAAGGGGCCAAATTAAACCCACCAATCACGCACTGAAAATGAAGGAAAATGGGTCAGGACTGAAGTAAAGAAGGAGAAGGTGAACTGAATCTTTGTTGCTCGTTTTTGTATATAAATAAATGAAATAAAATAAAATTGAGTCATTCAGCCATCAATGTGACTTTATCCTTACAACATTATATGTTAAGGCACTAAATAGATTCAATTTTTTAAAGGGTATTTAACATGTAGGCTTAGGATGATGCGTTAATTGTATTTTTTTCATTTGTATAGAAAAATTTTAAGTTGATTTTAATTTATTAATTGTACAATTAAAAATTTTCATCATGTGAGATTAACTTGACAATTTTCTTATTAATCTTTTCTATGTTAACAAACATAAAAAAACTAACAACTGAACATAATTTTATTACAAAATTTATCAATTTTTTGTATAATTTTTTTAACAAAATGTACAATAATTTCTAAACCACTTTTTCAATAAAAACCTTTTTTAAAAGTTGATTTCTAGTCCAATAACCCTTGATGTCTAGTCCCTCGACACATTACATTACACTTTGTTAAAAAACCATATTTTTTTTATACTTAAAAGGAAATTCATAATATTAATTAAAGACGCATAGTGTTGGTTCAATACAAAGAGTGACTTGTCCTGTTATGGCAAAAGGCAAAAATATCATAAAAGATAATAAAATTTTCTGTTGAGAAAAACACACATATTACATAGATTGAAAATTATATCCAATACATATCACATCACATTAAAAAAAAAAAAATAGAACAACAACAACACTAATGTGACAATCAAATAGATTCTTCACACTCATGGAATCTATCTGTTAATGCACTAATGTGATCACTGAATTTTTCAATATATCAAATACCCTATTAGCAGAATTGGTATCGATGGTAGAATTGGTATCGGAAGTAAAGGGTAATATTGGTTGGTTTAAGATCCGAATCAAGCTGTGAATAAGGTGATTGGCGAAAAAAAGCCACACAAAGAATGAGACTAGGGCAATATATGGTTTACTAATTGAAATGAGTGAAATTACCGCTAGTAAACCTGTCAAGATGGAACTAGTCCTCATAATTTCACTCCAATGCAAGTGGAAACGAACTCCTGTCCCTCGAAGACTAACATCAGCAATTAGTGGTATGGCACACAGTATCATCATTACAACATATGTGGTCAACATAAAAGAACGGAAGGGCGGTGAAAGAACCGGAAGTTGAATTAAAGGAGAGAAAGCCGTTATTAGTAGGCTCAATATGGCTGTTATTTGGGTAGAAAAGGAGTCTCCCCGTCTGCAAATCCAAACCACAAGGCAAAGTTTATTAGCAGGCCCAATATGGCACCGGGCTTAATGCAATGAAATTAAACTTTAAGCCCGTACATTCTTTATTTATAAAGGTCTCAATAGTCGATCTTGGTGGGAAACAACTTGGTAATAACGAATGGTCGTCTGGAATACTTGATATTGATAATCAATTTTAACCGGTTGATAATTATTAGTATTTATTTACAATTTGAACATTATTAAAAAAAGTAATATTATGATTTTTTTTAAAAGTAATTATGTAATTAATAATAGCTCTTCTATAAATAAATAAATATTGGAAAAAAATTTCAGAATAGAATATATTTCCGAAAGAAATGCGATTAATAGGTAAATTTTTATTTTTATTTTATTTCCTAAGAAAAGGCAAGGAAAACGGATAAAAAATACTATTAGCATAAATGAGGAAAAGAATTCAAAGAAACCAGAGTGTGAATTGTGAAAAATGCCACTTTCTTTGACTTTCCGGAGATTGACCCAGGGGCGCTGGGAAAGAATATGGAAAATGGAAAATGAGTTTCTCTAGTATCAAATATGAAGTTTTTAAACCAACTATTTATTTATTTGAGTGGAAGAAATTAGAATCTCTTTAACTAGAATTTTAAGTTTTAGTTTTATGAATGAAAAAATAAATATTAAGAGAGTTTTTCGATTTAATACAATTTAATCTTAAATTAATCGAAATCTTATGTAGCTTTTGAGATATTAAGAGATTTAGTATTTAAAAAAAAAAAAGTGAAGTTTTTTAAGCTAACTCTATACCTCTTTTATATAAGTACCTTAGAAACTCTATACCTCTTGTGAAAAACAATTAAATGACAGATTTTATTGTATAATTTTTTATATAACTTTATATGTTATTTAATAATTTGAGTAAATAAAATTTATGATCTTATATATATACACTAATTTAATAATATTATTATATAAGTAATTTTAATTAATAAAATTTAAATTAATTTTTATTATTTTTTATAAACTAATTATAAAATAATATATTTATTA